GGGAGGAGAAGAAGCGCAAGGAGGAGGACGAAGGAGAAAAGAGGAGGAGGAGGAGGGGTGTAAGAGGAGGAGGGGGATGAGGGAAAACATGGAGGAGAAGGGACAATGGGGGTGCGAGGAAGAAAGGAGGAGGAGGGAGGAGGGAGGACATAGGAAGAGAATAGACAACCTCGTCGGATCTGCTATTTCTGAGGCATGCAGAGGGGGGAGGATGGTGGAGGGAGGAGGGAGCACGAACAAGGAGGGGGGTGGAGGAGGAGAAGGGAAGGAGGTGGTGATGGAGAGGGCGATGATGATGAAGTTGCTATATGCATGCTAGAACATGGAATGTGCATTTTCTGACGCATGATGCTTGTTGTTGCGCAGATGCAACTTCGTCGTCCTTCGTTGTTGCCCGCCTCTCCACGACCGTGGTGACAATCTTCCTCTCTTCCGATGCGTCTTCCCTTCTAAGTAGTGGGGAGGAGAGTTCGAGACCGTGCCTTCTTCTTCTTTTTGTTCTTGTACTTCTTTTCTTCTTCTTCTTTTCTTCTTCTTCTTCCACTTCTTCTTCTTCTTCTTTAACTTCTTCTTTTTCTTCTTCTTGTTCTTGTTCTTGTTCTTCCTCTTCTTCTTCATCCTCTACTTCTTCTTCTTCTACTCCTTCTTGTTCGTCGAGCTGCTAGCCATGGCGTCAACAAGTGGGACGAGCAGCGTAGCGGGGAAGGGAAAGGAGAAGGTGAAGGCGAAGGGCACTGCACCGCCATTCGAAGCACAACCGGAACAACGACAGAAGGAGTTGGAGCGGGACAATGTCGTGTACCGGTGGATAGAAAGGGGACAGGAAGCAAAACCGAAGGGGTACGGCCAGTATTGGGTACGGTGCAAGTTGTGCATGAAAACGTTCACAGCATCGAACACCCGGGCAGTGGAGCACTTTGTTAGAAAGGGCAAAGCTGCAAAAACATGCCTATACAGAAGTGGGGAGATGTTGCATCTGTTGGCGCTCCGAGGGGCCACCATCGAGGGAGATGCAGCTAAAAGAATGCTTCACGAGTACAGGGTTTTGACAAGGGCATTGCGGAAGACACGGGGATGGAGAGAACGGGGAATGACGACAAAAGCACGGAGGACGACATCGAGCAACACTTGCAGCCACCTCCGGCACCTGGCCGGGAGGTGCAAACAATGGAGGAAGAGAACGTGTGTGGGCCGCAGGAGGCAGAAGTCGGGACTCCTGTGCCGCCCTCTTGTGCGGGGTCTTCATCGGCGGCGAAGTCCGTAAAGACCACACAGACGTCGATCCGTCGATGGACAGAGAACACCGCACAGAAGAGGTTGGACATGCAATGGGGAAGGACACTTTTTTGATCTGGCGTGCCCTTCAATTTCATTCGCGTCGACGAGACGAAGGCCCTCCATGACTTATACATGGAGTTAGCCAAAACGAAGGCGAAGGTCGATATGCCCACCTTCAACACATTGCGAACCGTGATTTTGGATGCCGTGTACGAGGATGTCAAAACGGCGGTGCAACCCCTGATCGACCAGTGGGACATCTCGGGATGCACTCTAATCACGGATGGCACAACCGATCGCAAGTGGCGGCCAGTTTTGAACTTCATTGGCGCAGGGGCCGGTGGAGCTGTGTTGCTAAAGGTAGTCGACATGTCCCATAGGAAGTCCAACGCCGCTGCGATTGCAAAGCTGTGGGAGGAGGTTATCAGGGAGATCGGGGTGCACAGGGTGAACGCAATTTGCACGGACAACGCTGGCGTCAACAAACGAGCGGCGAGGATCTTATCACGGAGTAGAGATCCAGATATTGCGAAGATCCCTTGGGTGCCGTGCGCCGCCCACACACTCAGCTTGTTGCTCAAGGACAAGGCGAAACTGCCATGGATAAGCAAGATAGTGAAGAGGGCGAAGATGATGGTAAAGTTCATCAAGAACCACCATCGCACTGTGTTTTTGTTCTCTGCGTGCTCTTTGGAGGAGAAGAAGACACTGGTCATGCCCACGGAGGTGAGGTTTGCGTCAACGTTTGAGATGTTGAACAGATTGCATGATAGGCGGGGTGTGTTGGAGGAGATGATGGACAAGGGATGGAAGAACATCCATTGGAGCTCGAGGGAACTTCGGGAAAAAGCAGACAAGATCTACCACACTATCCGATCGAGTCGGTGGTGGGAGGAGGTATATCGGATTGTCCTTCTTATGCRGCCGGTCAACGAGCTCCTCMGGMGGATGGACYGCGATGGTGTGGCRCCTTCATCTCTGTGGGGGTTTGACGAGATTCTCCGAGGTCGCTTGCGGAGCATCGGTGGCATCACAAAGGAGCAGCAACAAGAGATCATGAAGATTGTTAATGACCGCTGCAAGATGATGAGGCAGCCGGTGCACGCTGCAAATTTCTTGATGTCCCCGACAAGAAGGGACCCGCGTTGGGTGTTGGACAAGAACACCCCCCTTGTTCACAACGCCATTCAACATCTGATGTCGCAGCTCGGGGGAGACAGATGGGGTTCCGAAGAAAGTCATGTGAAAGTTTGGCAAAGCCTCTGGGCCTTCCATCAAAAGCCACCGAAGGAGCTTTGTGAAAAAGAGCCCATGTGGGACAGATTTGGGGTGGCCGACTCCTCGTTGACGCGGAAGACAGCATCGTAGTGGTGGTCGTCGTATGGGGGGAATCACCCGGAGCTGCAGAAGATTGCCACAAGGGTGACGACCATGTGGAGCACAGCCACACCTTGCGAGAGGAACTGGTCGTCATTGGACCTTATTCACACCAAGAGGAGGAACAACCTGTCGAGCGCAAGTTTGGCGAAGCTGGTTTATATCCACTGGAACATGCAGCTCCAGTGCATCCCCAAAAGCTTGAAGGATGGGTTTGTGGATGTTTGGGCATCATTCTTTGATGAGGCAGAGGCTCCATCACCGAATAATGATCCGATTCTCCCCGGCCCTTTGGTGGAGGACGAGGAGGAGTTGAGGAGGCAATCCAACTTGAGGAAGACTCCGAAGGGGAGGATTCCAGTTGGAGGGGGTTTGGAGGACTCGGACACGGAGTCAAGCGACGAAGAGATCATATGGAGTGGAAAACCGTGCGAAACGAAAGCTTCGCTGCCAAGATCAGCAAAAGGGAAGGATGTTGTCGACCTTGAGAATGTTGAGTCGGAGGAGGACGACGAGGACGTGGACGAAGATGGAGATGGGGAAGAGGAGGACGCGGAATATGACCCTGACTTCGTTGACCTTCCACCAACACATCACAGCGACGAAGAAAACAATGCGGTGTTTGAAGACGGGAGCGATTTGGAGTGCTGGACCGCAGAGCAGCAGTCATGTGCGCTGCCATCAACCTCCCGTGACAATGCTGACAGGGCTGCAGCAAAAGCCTTGGCAGAGGGACGAGACCGGCTTCTTGTGCAACAACGCATTCGGGAGGAAGAAGCGCGCCGTGAGGCTGCCCCCTTTCGTTCGAGAGCACGTCTTCCCCTACAACCACCGCTTGTACGAGACATGCTTGTTAACGAGCAGCAGCAGCAAGAGCCGTCGCAGCAGCAGGAGATGAGGGCGCAGCAGCAGCAGGAGCCAGAGTTCACTGCGCAGCAGCAGCAACCCGTGCATGTGGAGCAGCAGCACAAGCAAGTTGTTGAGTGTGAACATTCGACGCAGGTGGACGCGCGGGATAGAGGGGTGGAGGTCCACCAACAACCTGCCCAGCAGCAACAGCAATCCGTCGTGCAGCAAGAGCAGCAGCAGCAACAACCTGTCCTGCAGCAGCAGCAGAAGCAGCCTGTCGAGCAGCAACGGCAGCAGCATGTCGAGCAGCAGCAGCAGCAGCAACACCAGCAACAACCAGTCCAGCAGCAGCAGCAGCAGCCTGTCCAGCAGCAGCACCAGCACCAGCAGCAAGAGCGGGAAGAACATGTCCAGCAGCAACCTGTGCATCCCCAGCAGCAGCAAGCGGTCACCGCAGAGCAACGGCACGTACACGACACGGCCCAGATTTTGCTCGGGAAGGGGGGGGCACAACAGCAAGAGCACACGGAGCGACAAGCAATGCAGCAGCACGTCGAGGTTCAGCAGGCGGTGCCGCAGGAGCGTGTGTGCCCTCCACCGCCATTGCCAGAGCTGGATATGAATCTTGTCCACAACAACATTGATGTAAGCAGGGCGGGCAGGAAGAGGAAGACGATTATAGAACCCCCCCTAGCTCCATTGGTGAAGCGTGGTAGAGGCAGACCCAGAAAGGGAGAGGGAGAATCTGCACCCCTGCCACCTCGCCCCCCCACGGGAAGGCCGAAGCGCGCACAAACGGGAAAGGCGACGACCACGCGGCGTTGGCAGGTCCTTGAGGATGATCCCACTGGAACAGAGGATGGTAGTGAGGAAGAGGGGGGTCGGGAAGAAGACCCGGACTGGGAGTAGGCGAGAGAGAGAGAGAGAGAGAGAGAGAGAGAGAGAGAGAGAGAGAGAGAGAGAGAGAGAGAGAG